GCAATTATACCCTATTAATGGCTGACAATGCAACTCTGCCTGGTGAGTGGGAGCCAAGTCGGGGCGGCCCACAGATGTGCTCAGCCCACAAATATGCAGTTGGCAACTCCTGAACTTTCCGTGACTCGACAACAGCTGATCTGATCGGCAATTACGTTTTATTTTGGGGCCAGGGAGACAGCAGAGAACTGGGAAAATTATAAGACATCAGAGTGCAATTTTTCTAAGAATATCAACGACAAACTTTTTTTAAACAATTGTTTTTTTTAATGGTAAGAGGTTTGCAAGGCACGGAACTAAGCAAGATTGGACACAGAAATCAGATTCTGATTAACTCCCCCAAGGGGGCTTTTAAGATTTTGTCTAGTAAAAATCTGACTTTGACTTTTTTTTTTTTGGGGGGGGGGGGGATGGGGGATAGGGGACAAGAAGGGTTTGGAGAGGACAGTGTCTATCAAGAGAAAAGAATTGTTAGTAACAGTGTATACAGCATAGAGGTAAAAAACGGAAATGAAGAACCCAGGGTTTGGAGCTGGTCTTGAACTGGAATCCTCCCTGACTCAGTAGGTGTGTGAGCTTCTTGGCCTCAGCTCCCACCCGTGGGAAACGGCGGCATAATACTGTTGTGGATGTAACTGTGTCCCTTGGCAAAAGATACACTGAAATCTTATTACTGTAAATGTCACCTTGGCTAGAAATAGGGTCTTTGAAGATGTTATCAGTTGAACTGACAGGAAGTTCTGATGGGGCACTGAGTAGACTCTGACTCACAGAGATCCTACAGCACAGAGCAGAACTGTTCCTTAGGGTTTCCAAGAGTGTAAATCTTCACAGACGCAGGCAGCCTCTTCTTCTGCCTGCAGTGCAGCTGGTGAGTTCAAACTGCCAACCTTATGGTTAGTATTCCAACACTTAAGCCACTGCGTCACCAGGGCTCATTTAATGGAGAAAGGTGAGCCCTAATCCCATTTGAGTTATTGTCAATTCCTACTCATAGCGACCCCGTATAGAGTTTCTGAGGAGCAGCTCTTGGGTTTGAACCTCCAACCTTGAGGTTATCAATCCAATGCTTATCCTACAGTGCCACACCAGGACTCAATCCAATTTGAGTGGTGTCCTACAAAAAACACACCGGACCTACCAGAAGCTGGGAGAAACGAGAAAGATCTTCCCCTAGATCCTTCAGTGAAAACCAGTCCTGGCTAATACCCTGAATTCAAACTCCTAACCTTCCTGAAATGTAAAACAATAAGTGTCTCCTTTGATAAGCAAGCCACCCAATTTGTGGTACCTTGTCATGACAGCTCTAGGAAGCTGCTACAAATCTCTCTCTCCAGGCTCATTGTAAAATTGTTGTTGTTAAGTACCTCGGAGTCGGTTCTGACTCATAGTGACCCTGCACACGGTTTCCGAGGCTGCCAAGCTTTATGGGAGCCGAAAGCTTCATCTTTCTCCTGTGGAACTTCTGGTAGTTTCGAACTGCCGACCTTGAAGTTAGCAGCCCGATTTGTAACCACTACACTACCAGAGCTCCTTGATGGTAAGATTAGATGTGAATTTTTCAGCATCTCCATCGGACCTGGCATATTGTCCTGGTACATAGTAACTAAGACCCCTTTTCTTGATGTAAGGCTGGTGTCTTATCATCAAAAACAAACAGTTCCTGTTTTCACCATGATGTAGCACACCCAAATAACCAGACAGCAGAAAAAGGGGAAGCTCCATCTCCAGGGACAGTTTGGTTTCTCGCGATTAACGGGTTTGTCATCTGTGATAACATCATTCCGGGCTTAGCAACTTCAACAGCATGACTGGTTGGGAAAGATGAGAAATAGTAACTAAGCCCAATCAGAGGAAAAGTCTGTAAATGTCTCAAGATAGGAGCCCTCGCTTCCTCTCTCCTCTTACTACGCCAGCTAGGGGCAGCTCAAATGATCCCCCAAGATGGTACCGTTGACCTTGCGTGGGAATAGAACATAATTGCAGCTTGTAAAGGAAGTCAGCCTAAGAAAAAAAAACATCCCGAGACAACATCTCAAGGAAACAGGGTGATTTTCCTGCAATGACATTTCCCTGGTTGCCAGACAGATTGCCCAAGATATTCCTGATGGAGGACAATGAGTCATTCGCCCCGCTCTTACAGATGACCCACCAGTGGCCAGTGGCTCTGACTCGTGGTGACCCCATGTGTATCAGGGTATAACTGTGTGCTCCATAGGGCTTCCAAGGGCTGATTTATTTTTTAGAAGCAGATCACCAGGATTCTCTTCCAAGACACCTCTGGGTGAACTCTTCAATTAACAGCCAATCAGGTTAACCAACTGCACCACAAAGTCTTAGCCTACTGCTAAATGAAAATCTGGCTCAGACAGCGCTCAACACTACCAGAAGGAAAACATTTCTCTGTCTAGAAGGGTCACACTTCTTCAGTTGCTTTACAAAAGAACCAGGTAAGGACTACCTTGTCAGTCCACTCTCCATGTCAACCCAGGGTATGCAGAGTAAGCAGACATGTGGGGCTAAGCTCACGTGTCCTGTTCACCCCCTGGGTGCCCAGAGCCCAACACACAGGGACTCTGTAACAGTGGAGGAATAAATGAATACATGAGTCCATGAATTAAATAACTCCATGGGGGGGGGGGGGCAATCAGTCAAGGCAAACCATCTCAGGCAACCTCTCTCATATAACACGGTGAGCTGTAAGATGCACCACAGAGGAGTAAGTAAGCACAAGTAAGTAAGCCTGCATAAGAGATGAAAATGCTGCCCAGTCCATCTTCATGACCCATGGTATGAGTGAGTTTATAATTTCAGCGATTGTACCAATCCATCCTACTTCACCGTCAAAATGGTCTTCTCCAGTGACTAGCTTTCCTGGTGTCCACGGTAGGTGAGCAGACGTCTCCCCATCCTTACTTCTAAGGACCCTGCATCCGAGGTAGTGGTATCACCATGATTAAGGAGGGGGAGTAGTCACAGAGCCATTAAGCTACATGCCCACAGCCACAAAGTTAGTAAATGATGAAACAGGCTAGGAACCCAACCTGGCTCTAAAGCCCAGACTTCAGCTACTGACGCTACCTGCATGACCATAAGATGTCGAATCACAATCCTGCCGCCTCCACGTTTCAGAATTGTTTCATACTCCCAACATTCCTGAGCGATTTTTCAGACGGGAAAACTGACCTCTACTGAGGACTCGGCATGGACTCACAGTTGTACTCTAGTTAGAAGCGAAGTTGTAATTTCTACTCAGGCCTTCATTTTTTCATCCACAGAGATCTGGGAGCACCTGTTGTCAGCCAGGCGCTGTTTTAGGTGATGCTGATGCCACAGAGAACGTGAAAAAGGTCCATGGACACCCACCCAGAGAGACAGCCACCTCAGAATGGGCTCTAAGCTCTGTTTGGAAGGGGAGACGTCCCAGAACAAAGGATGGAAATGGTTTGCATCTAGTAGCATGCACTATTGTCAACACAGTTAAGCCAAAACCCTAACCCTTCGTCAAAGACTGGTTCTGTCTGCTCCTGAGGACAGGCTTTATGAAGAGGCTGAGAGACTTGCCTACAATTAAGAAACAGCTCAGTACCAAATGAAATTCAAATATCAAATTCCCTGTTGAGTCTCCATGGACCCCAGAAAAGGAAGCCTTTAGGTAATGCAGGTATTCCTGAATGTACAGTGGGGCTCCTTTCCAACCACATAAGTTGAATACAGTTTTTCTTTCTTTTTTTTACGCTTCCATTATTTTTGCCTTTTATAACAATATCTTTGTAAATCAACAGTGTTTCCAGCAGTAAATCATAAAATTGAACATCTGTAAGTAAACATCTGAGAATGAGATCAGTAAATTGTCTGCTACAACCTATCACCAACACCCACCCCCCCAAAAAAAGATGGTCGTAAGTACAGTTCAACTCAACTACGTCACACATCAGGGACAACCTGTACTGAATTTTCAGTTACCTGTCAACACCTAGAGCTCAGGGTGGTGGGGTGGGTGGGAGATGGATTAACCTGGTTTGGCCACTTATGATGCATACACTCCGGAGTTTATTTTCCAGACGTGAGTGCAGGTGAGAAATTGGAAGGAGCAATGGGATCCCAAAATTCTTAGGCTCATCCCTTTGCAAAAACAAGAATTCAGCACCTTTGATGCCCACATTGTCTTCTTCTACCAAGCACCCTGGTACACAGAAGACTCAATTAATAATTTAACACAAAATAAAGAGTATGTATATAGCTAAACCAGCACTTTTCATTTTCCTTTCTCAACAGCTATTAAAAGTAGGCAGTTGCTGTCGCTGGGACTTCATTCACCAGCTCTCGACATCAAGCGCTCATTCAAGTTCCTGAAAACGGACCAGCCCTGCAGTTTCCACATCAAGACCCACACACAACGCTGAAGCCATTGTCATAGCAACCAGGCCTCCTAACTTTGCTCCTAACTTTCCAAGGGGCAACTTTTCCTTGGTTGGAATTTATTTTGCTCAAAGAGAAGCTCTTTTCATCATCAACAGTGCAGAAACCACGCTTGCTGCCTTCTTAAATTAATGAGTCACATTTACTGTGACAGTCACTTAGCAAAGACATCTTGCCAAGCTGGCAAAGTGGGGCACTGTTGGGCTTGAATAAGGGGACGTAGAACAGGTGGTGAGTTTGTCCAGGTGCAGATCCTCAGGGAAGATAACACAAGCTGGCCAATGTTTCAGTGTCAGGATCCCACTGCTGGGGCCCGTGATTGTATGGAACTCTGGGGTCCAAGACCTGAGCAGCACCAGACCCGGTCACTCTCTAGTTCTAAACACCGCGATTGTGGAAACAGTATACAGAGACAGCTTACCTAAGAAAGCAGCCCTGGAAGGCAAAACGCCAGGCAGGGGAAGGAAGTTTCAAATCCCCAGGGAACACAACACTGGAATCGTTCAGCCAAAAAAATCCAAACCAAAATGATGGGCGATGACAGAGTCACGGAAGCAGCCAATTTCCCTGAGACTTACCTGGGTCGGGTTGTAGAGTTCCTGCAGGGGGCTTCGGGACCCCTTCCGGCAACAGATGTCCACGCCGAAGGGATTCCTCCGCATGACTAAGGAAAGAAAGTGAAGGTTCATCAGAAAGAGCAGCAAAGGCATGTTGTCTGACAAAGAAACAGACGCAGAAGAGAGAAGAGGAAAGGATAGCCGGCTTGTAATGAAGATAGATTTCCACTGCTGTTCCCATACCTGCGTCTGCAACTCCGCCACTGTCTTCTCAACTCTCAAGGGTCTCCACACCCAAACAAACAACAACGTTACCACGGAGTCAAGTCCAACTCGTGATGACCCTATGGGTGTCGGAGTGGAATTCTGCTCCAATGACTGTGATCTTTCCAAAGTACATTGCCTGGTCTTTCTTCCTAGGTACATCTGGGTGGATTGGAATCACCAACCGTTGGGTTATTAGCCAAGTACTTCGTGGTTTGCACCACCAGGGGACTCTTACTCCATATCCCAAATCAAAGAAAAATTTGCTTTCAGATCGATTTTTACTCATAGTGACCCTACAGGGAAAGGTAAGATTGTAATCTTTATGAAGTCCTGCTGTAACATTGGACCACAAGGTCAAGTTGGACCATAGGGTTGGTGGTTCAAACTCACCAGCCACTCCTTGGAAAGCCGATACAGGGTCACTGTGAGTTGGAACTGACTCCACACACTTAACAACACCAACAATCTTAAAGCAGCTGCTGGGTTCAAACCACCAGCCTTTAGGTTAGCAGTGAGTGCTGAAGCACTGCGCTACCAAGGCTCCTTGATACATCCCAGAAGGACATCAATAATGTTAAAACTTCCTCCTAGTAAATTTTTAAGACACAAAGAAATGTCATTTGTGAAACATGGTAAAGACAGTTCTGCCAGAGTGTGTTCTGCCAAATGCCAGGCTTGGTGAGGCAGTGTAAGGTCCCATAGCCTTCGCCATCTGCCCTTCCCTAGGTGGGCTCTCCTGTTCAGCAGACACCCCCACTCCATTTAAATGGCACTCAGCTATTGGTCAGCTGAGGAGAGGGGTGGAGCATTCCCAAAGTCTCTTGTGAATTATCTTTGTCATTTTTGTCAAGTGCTGTTTGAGTGAGTTCCCACTCATAGTGACCCTGTAAGACCTAACAGTTGGCTCTCAGGAAGATTCTAGAAATTCAAGAAAACCCTATGGAGCGATTCTACTCTGCCACATGGGGTCACTTTAGCCCCTGCATCTCAGAGTCAATTCCTGCTCACAGCTATCCCATAGGGCAGAGTAGGGCTGCTCCTTCACTCTCTGCAAATCTTTAAGGCAGCATACAGCCTTGTCTCTCTTCTGAAGAGCAGATGGTGGGTCTGAACCCCGACCCTGAGGTTAGTGGCCCAGCGCTTAACCCACAGTGTCACTGGGCTTCCTCATGGGGCCAATATTAGAAGTCAATATATAAGCTCCATACATCCCCCACCAGGTCTACAGCTCTCCCTGCGGAGTAAGGGACCTGGGGGTACATATCAATACAGAAGAGCCATTAGAATTTGATTAGGCTGAGAAACAAGAGCTCTTTGTTCCTCCACGGCTGCCCTAAGAAGAGGGGGGAAAATCCATGTTGTGTTTTCCTTTAATTTATTACTTCATTTTTCATTTCCACCCAAAACGAGGTAAACTGTTAAATGCATGCAAGTTGCCCTGGGTGCACAAAGACATAGCAACACTCCAATGGAGCAAAAACAACCATAACACTTGTAAAATTATGCTCCCGCCAGGCAAGATTAAATTCTCCCCGTGGCGGCAGACAGGCTCCCAAGGACTCGGGTGTGGAGCTGCCTCAGTGAAAACTCTATCGTGGAACCCATTAAAAGGCTGATTTTATGGGGGGCAATATGATTTAATTGGTTTATTTTTCTAAAACAAGGCCTTTCAAAGCCTTTGACCATGTGGGGCCTGCAATTTGGGCCTTCTGCAGTTCCCCTCCAGGTCTGAGCTCCTGCACTCCAGGCTATGAAAGCCAAAGGGGCCTCATGTGCTTTTTATGGGTATGATAACAACCATGCCATTTGAGGTGAGTTCATTGTGTACCAGGTCCTAGGAGAAGTATAATCCTAGCCCCCAGTGAAGATTACAGACAGCTTCTCTGAGTTTCCGTGAACTTCAGGAACTTGACCAAGGACGTATGGGTGGAAAGCAGACTCAAACCTAGTCAGTTATGCTCTCTCCAACCCATCCCTGACCCCCGCTCAGTCTCTGTCTGGCCAGTCGTGAGAAAGTTGACCATTGAGTTACTTGACGCCCTGTTCATCAACTCAGAAAAACGAACCCAGTTGCCAATGAGTCGATGTGGTTCATGGCCACCCCATGTGTATGTATCAGAGCAGAACTGTGTTCCACAGGGTTTTCAATGGCTGTTTTGTTTGGAAGTAGATTTCCAAGCCTTTTTTCCTGAAATCTCAAGCATATTAGCTGTTTGCACCATTCATGGACTTTTGGCACACAGTTGGCTCTCAAAAAGGTTTATGAAGGATCTAGATCTTTATGAATCTTTCAAGAGAACGTGAAGCACTTATTTATGAAGAGCAAAGACACTATACATAGCCTTCAGTATGGAGTACAACTCAATGTTAAGAAAACAAATATCCTCACAAGACTGAAGCTGTCAAAAATTTCATTTTACTTGGATCCACAATCAACACTCATGGAAGCAGTTATTAAGAAATCAAAGGACATATTACATTGGGCAAATCTTCTGCAAAAGACCTCTTTAAAGTGTTCAAGAGCACTTTGAGGACTAAGGTGCATCTATCTGACCCAAGGCATAGTATTTTTCAGTCGCCTCAGGTGCTTGTCAAAGCTGGCAATCAATAAGAAAGATTAAAAAAAAAGAATTGATACATTTGAATTAATGGTGTTGGCAAAGAACAATGGAAGTACTATGGACTGCCAGAACAACAAACACATCTATCTTAGAAGAAGTACAGCCAGAATGCCCCTTAGAAGCAAGGTTGGTGAGACTTTGTCTAACATACTTTGGCTATATTATGAGGATGGACCAGTCCTGGGAAAAGGACATCATGCTCAGTAAAATAAAGGGCCAGTGAAAAAGAGGAAGAGCCCTAAGGAGATGGATTGACTTGGATGGATTGAGCAACAATGGGCAGAAGCATAACAACAATTGTGCGGATGATGAAGGACCGGGCAGTTTCCTTCTGATGTGCATAGAGCCACTGTGAATTGGAACAGCACCTAACAACAACAAACTCAAATCAGTGAAATTAAGGACGGTTTCTCAATTATAATTATTCTAATGATAGGCCAATTTGCAGTATGATTTCCTGGACCCAGTAACAGTTCTGGATATTCTAAGAGATATGAACTATGGCAAAATTACACTAAAGTCACTCTTGTTTATTTCAATCCAATGAAAAGTACACTCTCCTCCTTCTGAACATATCCATTAGGGAGGCAGCTAACTGGGAGCAGGGGCGGACAGGCAGCTCACAACAAGGGATGGAGCTCATCACATTCTCTGAGAGGTGCCCTGTGGTCTTGTCGGTGCTGTGGGGCTCAGGTATGAAGACATACCTGCCTTTGATACATTTCATAAACCAAAGACACTGAGGATTCTGAGAGATGAGAGTGCAACCCCTTTCATTCACAAAAACTACTTGGGGAGCATAAGCACTTGCTAAGGTCCCCAGTGCGGTGGCAGCAGATGTCAAGCTGTGGGAAAAACAGTCACCGTGAATAATGAAAATCATTGTTAGTACTACCATTTATCGAGAATGTATCATGTGCCTGACATAATGCTGAGTGAGCCCTGTTCTCACATGGCTTGCTTTGTGGTTGTTAGGTGCCATCGAGTTGGTACCAACTCATAGTGACGCTATGCACATCAAAATGAAACACTGCCCAATCCTGGGCCAACCTCACAGTCATTGTTATGTTTGAGCCCACTGCTTTGCCACTGTGCCAATCCATTTTGTTGGGGGGTCTTCCTCTTTTTTTCCAACCCTCCACTTTACCAAACATGATATCCTTCTCCAGTGACTGGTCCCTCTTAACAATATGTCCAAAGTATGTGAGACGTAGTTTGGCCATTCTGGCTTCCATGCAGCACTCTGGCTTCACTTCTTCCAATAAAGATCTATTTGTTCTTTTGACAGTCCATGGTACTTTCAATGTTCTCCTCCAACAAAATTACTCAAATGCATCAATTCTTCTACGGTCTTCCTTATTCACTGTCCAACTTTCACATGCATATGAAGTTATTGAAAATAACATGGTTTGGGTCAGTCTTCAAACTGACGTCTTTGCTCTTCAACATTTTAAAGAGGTCTTGTACATCAGATTTGTCCAATGCAATATGTCATTTGATTTCTTGACTGCTGCTACCATGAGTGTTGATGGTTGATCCAAGCAAAATAAAGTCACTGACAACTTCAATCTTTTCTCCATTTAATGGACGTGATTTATTGGTCCAGTGGTGAGGATTTTTGCATTCTTTACATTGAGGTGCAATCCATACTGAAGGCTGTGGTCTTTGATCTTCATCAGTAAGCACTTTAAGTCCTCTTGGCTTTCAGACAAGCAAGATTGTATCATCTGCATATGTATGGCTTGCTTTAATCCTCATTAAAAACTCTGTAAATTAGAGATAATAACATCATTTGTACCCATGTTACATTTGTGAAAATGGAAGCCCTTAGAGGTTTTTTAAGTTGCCTAAGATCACACAGTCAGCAAACGGTGAGTCAAATAGGAAATGCAAACCCAATTCTGTCTGTTTATAGACGTGGTACTCTTGACCACTTCACCATGCTCCTTGCAAGGGCAGCAAAAGATGCTTCTAATAATGATTTATCATATATAGCTTCCCCACACAAACCAGGGCTCTCACTGTTCAAAGCCAAAGTACTTCTGTACCAAACCAACCAAGTCTGAATGGTTTTCCACACCTCCGGCTGGCAAAGCAACTGCCATCAACTCTAAAACCCAGCTGGCTTCAGATACATTCCAAATCTCTCGATTTGCTAACAGTCTGGGCATGGTTTGCCATCTACCCGATGCTCAGAGAATGCAGAGCAGCCATGTAAT